TTTCGCACTGTTAGTGGGGCAATGGCATCGGCCGATTTTCGCACTGTTAGTGGGGCAATGGCATCGGCCGATTTTCGCACTGTTAGTGGGGCAATGGCATCGGCCGATTTTCGCACTGTTAGTGGGGCAATGGCATCGGCCGATTTTCGCACTGTTAGTGGGGCAATGGCATCGGCCGATTTTTGCACTGTTAGTGGGGCAATGGCATCGGCCGATTTTTGCACTGTTAGTGGGGCAATGGCATCGGCCGATTTTCGCACTGTTAGTGGGACAATGGCATCGGCTGATTTTTGCACTGTTAGTGGGGCAATGGCATCGGCTGATTTTCGCACTGTTAGTGGGGCAATGGCATCGGTCGATTTTCGCACTGTTAGTGGGGCAATGGCATCGGCCGATTTTCGCACTGTTAGTGGGGCAATGGCATCGGCCGATTTTCGCACTGTTAGTGGGGCAATGGCATCGGCCGATTTTTGCACTGTTAGTGGGGCAATGGCATCGGCTGATTTTCACACTGTTAGTGGGGCAATGGCATCGGCCGATTTTTGCACTGTTAGTGGGGCAATGGCATCGGCTGATTTTCACACTGTTAGTAGGGCAATGGCATCGGCCGCCGATTTTCGCACTGTTAGATTTTCGCAATCATTGGTGGCAAATCAGTTTACAGAACGAACGATGTTTCGTTTTTCGGATGAACAATCGCCCGATAAACGAACCGTCTATAGTCTGCATTACTCTGGGCAGATTAAAATAATATGCATTTATGGATTCAGTAAAAATTAGTACACTGTATTTTTTTTTTTTTAATACTACTACTGTGAGTACCTAAACCTGACACTTCAGCCTTGTATCCCTACACAGCAGAACGTAGAATCAGAAAAACAGAGCAGAGCTAGATCTAATCAGTGTGCCGACAAGGAACACGCTGACAGGAGGAGAGGACAGAGAGAGGAGGTCATCAGTGTGCCGCTTCTCCTTCCCTGTCTAGTTGCAGGTCCGGGAGACAGGTGATCTAGCTATGTTGCAGCTTGGACCAGTGTAACTATGTATATCCTATTTGCCTTCCTCTGGGTCAACTGTGGGTTTAGGATTGGGTATATGGGATTGTATATCATCATTTTTCCCTTCTATTGGCTGAACTGGATGGACTTGTTTCTTTTTTCTTTTTCTTCTCCACTCCTCCTACCACTCCATCCCCCACAGCCACTTCCTCCTGTACCACTATCCCCTCCCTCCTAGATTGTAAACTGGAAAGAGCAGGGCCCTCGAACCCCTCATGTATTGTATTGTTACTGTATTGTCTCATGTACTGTCCCCCACTATAATGTACAGCGCTGAGCAAACCTTCTGGCGCTATATAAATACTGTATAATAATAATAATAACAATGCATTTTATTATAGATTGGACAGTATCAGAGAAACAGTCATAGACTGGAGAGTGCGGTATATGTTGGTGTATAGCACATCTCTGGTGGAAGCGCACTTCATTGGAAAAAGGACTTTTATTTTGGCACTTTCTGTTTATTTCCAGAATTTATTTGTTTCCTCACAATTTTTCACGTTTTTTGGAGTGGGACTATTTCTATTAATAATTTTTGATGAATTTTTATTTTTATGGTTTAAATGTTTTTATGATTTATTTATTTTTATGATTTCATTATTTGCGCTGTTTGTAATGTTTTTCATATAGTTTGGTGTAGATTGCACTTATAAACAGCAGCATTTAATTAATTTTGGTATACAATACAGTTTTTGGCGCTGGGGATTTTTGATTATACATGTCTAAATCTACCATTACTTGTTGGCATGATTCTGTAGAGAAAAAAAACAAATGTCTGTGTTGCTCATCCCCAGTGCCAGAACAAGGTCATCCAGCGCCCAGGGCAAAGATACCAAACTGCGCCCCCCACAGTTCATGATGTGCAAGCATAGGGGATCCTACACCCAGAAGTCACTCGCTTGTCAAAATAACTGCCACTGTCACTGCTTCTTGCAGCCTTCTAACAAAAGGAAGGCGCCCCCATCCACACCATAAATGACTGTGCCCAGGGCAGCCGCCCCCCTCCGCCCACCCCTTGTCCCGGCCCTGCTCATCCCTAATGGTGACCTTGGGTGCAGGGGCGGACTGACAACTCATGGGGCCCCCGGGCAATAGGGGATCATGGGGCCCCTGTGTCCTTGCCCAAACTCAAAAAAGCCTATGAAAAAGGTACCAGGGGCATCTCATGGGGCCCCCTACTGACCCCGGGCCCTTGGGCAGTGCCCGAGTTTCCAAATGGTCAGTCCGCCCCTGCTTAGGTGATACCTGAACCAGGAGAGAAAAGCAGATGTCTGTGTTGCCCAGAGCTACCAACTAGACTGAATCCCTATTTTTACTATTTGTGCAGAAAACAGCGCTTTCAGAAGAGGAGAATTTTTGCTCTTCAGTACCGACCAAAAAAAAAAAAAATAGCTTTCCATTTTTCAAAAGCAACTGATACATTTTTAAAATGCAAGAGAACCCATTAAAAAGCAGCAAAGCAGCCCCACAGCCGAGTCTCAAGTACCTGGTTACCATGGAGACTTATAAAACATGTCGAAAAAATCTTCTTGTTTATCTGCCGCAATAAAATCACAAAGAGAATCTCTTCAGTGGCCGTGCTTTGATTCAGAAAGTCGGGATAATGATCAGCTCCAACCAAACACTGAGGAGGGTTAGAGGAACACAGGGGGTGATGTGAGGACAAACTTTTTTTTAATTGAAGGGGAATTTTTTTTACATATTATCTTTATTTTTCATTGCATTTGGGACTAAAAAAATAAAATGTAGTTTTCAAACGATAGTCTTAAAATTGAAAGCATTGATGGGAATGTGATTTATCTTTGGCAGCCAGTAGGAGGTGCACTTGAGTCTTTAGAATCCTGCAATTTTACTGCTGTGCTGTGAACAGCTTGGTGTCATTTGATCTCCGGTTCGCGGAAACCACCCACACCCATATCTGTCTGTAATTCATACAGACCTGTATAGATCCTCAAAGAGAGATGGTCAGAAAGTGAGAAAACAGAAAAAAAAATTGGGCAGAGTCTCAGTTTAGCACAGTAGGTGAACTCCAGCCTTACCTTTTTTTTTCCAATTATTCGAATTTGCGCAGGTGTGAAAAAAACCCCATAAGTGAACAAAAAACCATGCGAGTGCAAAACACAAACACAACAAAGTACACTTAAGGGTGAGCTTATTCCACCCCCCGAAGGGGTAGGATCTCTAACCTGATCCCCTGGGGTGCAAAGCTCCTGACAGCGACAAAGGTTTCCACATGGTCCACCTAGCCAAAAGGTCTGCTTGACCCCTTTCCTTCTGGCTAGCTGAAGCCAACCACCAAGTACTAGGTCAGGGGGCTCTCCCAAAGAGAGACCCCCTTCCCCTCAGGAACAGGGGAGGCAGGAAGGAACCTAATGGCTATACATCTTCCCCCCTAGACTTCAGGGTAGGCCCAAGGACCCACACCCTCCATCTGTGAGAAAAAAAAAACACACACACAAAAGTGAAAGGTGACAAAACGGTGGGAGATAAATAAATAAATAAGTGGCTATGCAATTGTGTACTGGCTGGGCCCTAAGGCCCATAGCAAAAAAATTACCCTGGACTTAGCCATAGGCCTAGCCCTAATAGGCGCAGTGCAGAAAAACTGTTTAGAACAGTGACCATGTGCACTTTTCACACTTGGGATCCCACCCCCATGTGCTACTAAGAGCACCCCTGAGGCGACCACTCAGGGAGCACTGCTCTGCGGACTCTCTGCCTCCTCGGCCCCTGGCCAGACAAGGTAGATCCGCTCAAATCAGAAGTAACTGGACCCCTCCAGTTTTCCCGGGGGAATTACTCCTGGGCCCCAACAGCCTGTGGGCGCCTTGGTTTCTCTTCCAGCCGGTACTAGCCTTGAGAGCCCCAATCATAACAGCAGGGGTACTACACAGCCAGCCATCCTCACCTAAAAGCAAGAATGATGGTGGAGCGCCCCCACTGGACACTCATAAGAACAGATACTACACTTGATCTTAGCCAAAAGGCCGAGAAGCGATTACCTTTTTTTTTGTTGTTGAAAAATATACTTTATTTCTTACATAAGTATACAAAAACAAGATACCTTCGTCGGGGGACATTCCACCTTGTACTGCTACCCAGTGCATAAATACACCACATAACAATACAGTTCCAATCATACAATAAATACATTCACTCAGATGCCTAACGTGGTGTGCGGGCCAAAAAAGTTCCCCAAACCATCACATCATGCATGATGCCGCTTACCCCGAGACTGTCCCAGGCCTTAGACAGTTGCCACCAGAGCAAGTGTCCCCTTTGGAAGAGTTCCCTTTTACCTCCTGTTCCAGTGACAACTCAGAATTGTGGATTTCCCAGCACTCACTGCCCTGCCTTGCTGTGGTCACCAGGATAAACAGAGAGGGCAACCCTTCCTAGAGGGCACATAGACAGCAATGGAGAAAAAAAAAACTGTAAGGGGTTCTAAACCTTTCCTACTCCATATAAAACTAAGGTTTCTGCTTTTGGATCCACTTTATAATATAACTCGACTTTTACACAGAGGCCTCCAATAGGCTCAAGTGGTCTGTGGCCACCAAGGGCATTGTGGATGTTGAATGTCACTAGAGACTGCAGAGATGCTGTCTGTTAGTTTTGCCACAAAATAAGAGAATCAAAAAAGTCACAACCAGCCTACACATGTAATGAGCCAGTTTGGCTCTCCCCATGTGCATATATAAATGCCAACTACTGGAGGATTTTCATATAACAACACATGTTGACAGGTTTATTGACATTAGGTGTTTTTTATATAACCCTTTAACAAAAAAATAAAAAGATCACAGTTCCCCTTTACCTGTCTGTAACTTCGGGTCCAAAAATGCGGAGAATGGACCGCCCCTTCCTAGGGTGTTGGTTAGTCATAGAGTAATAGTAGATTGTGAAGCATCACGATTATACCATTGAGAAACAAAAACTTACCCAACATGCATGAACATGTAGGTGAGGAAGCGCCAAGCTCTAGCCCGATGCCCCGGGTGGTAGACCAGCGGACTCTTCATGTACTCGGGGTGGTACGTCTGTAAAACCCATTTGTTCAGCTTGACCCCGTAACACAGGAATACTATGATCTAGAAAGGAGAAGACAGCTTTGAGGACCGCAGATGAAGAACAGCAGGCCATCAAACTCTTAGGGTGGACGTCGTTGAAGTACATGTTTTTTATTAAAAATCATATTATTCCAATGGGAAAGTATAACCTGAGAGGTTATGGTGAGGTGGGTCAAAGGGAACCAAAAAGCACTCCACTGTCAGGTTATAGTTTTCCATTTGTATACCATGAAAACAACCAACGTAATTCAAGAGCCCACCTCATAATGGAAAGGGTAGAAAGTAATTACTATGCACCACATTATTCCACTTCCATGCCTTGGAAAGTTGTATTGATGTAAAACAGAGGTTGGATTTGGTGACTTGCCTGGGTCAGGGTTACAGCTGCCATGAAGATGGGCGGTGGGCATGGCCGATGTTGGTAGAAGTACCAGCGTCTCTCCATCTCCCCAGGCAGAATCTCGTAGGCCACGTAGCGGACAAACCTCTTGTAGACACCCAGTCCATCCTGATCAAGCAGGACATCTCGAGGAAGAGCACGCTGACCGCTGCTGATTGCTCTTCGGAAGCTGCTGGACCTCTTGCTGCTTATCTGTGGCAGAATTGGGAATCATTTTATTTATAAAATATTTTACTGAAATTTGCATTATTGTAACAAGCACAAATTCCATGGTCAACTTCCCAACCCCCTTTCTTGCTATGCTATTCTCCTCCTATCAGGGCCGTGGATAAGGTGGTACCACCAGTCCTCCTTTACAGGGCTGGGCAGCTGGTTAGTCGGTTGTAGGCAGGGAGGGTGATTGCCACAGGGGGGGGGGGGGGGGTGACAATTACTGGAACTGATCCCCTCTATGGCTCTCTCTCTGCAGCAGCTGAAAGCTGGCTTCTTCTCTCTCTCTCTCCTGCTTTTAGCTGCTGTAGAGAGAGCCATACAGGGGATTGGCTCCAGTAATTGCCCCCCCAGCACTCATCACCCTCCCTGTGCACCATACGTTTCCCCCTTTTGACTAGGCCCCCTGTGTGCCCCCACCTCTGCTCTACTGCCAGGTTCTATCCTCTCCTTCCCACTGGCAGCTGTAAGTACACAATAGGCTCCTTTAGGATGGAGAGTGGGGAAAGGGTGCAGTAAATATTTCACATTTACCAGCCCCCCTCCTTTCCTGAATGCACACAAGGAGCTATCAGTACCAATCACTCACTGTTTTCATTTATAACTGAAGCATAGTAAACTGTGTGTTTTTTTTTTTTGTGGAGAGGGGCCCTGTCAGGTTGGTTGTATGGGGCCCCATGGTTTCCATCAGCAGCCCTGCCTCCAATGTGCAGGCATTAACACTGCTGCAAACCAAAAGGCATGAAAAAAATTATTAGGAATACAACTCCTAGATTGTAAGCTCAAAAGAGCAGGGCCCTCGATCCCCTCATGTTTTGCATTGTATTGGTATTGTTCTGTCACATGTTCTGTCCCCCTTTTGTAATGTACAGCGCTGAGCGAACTATTGGCGCTTTATAAATACTGTATAATAATAATAATAACTCCAGGTGCCACAAAACATAGTAAAAAGTATAAGAACATAAATAATTCCAAGGCACTCAGTCTAGAGTTGGATCATTGTTGCCCAAACATTTCTCCCAGACCAGGGGTCTTCAAAGTCACTAAACAAAGGGCCAGTTTACAGTCTGTTAGGCTTTAGCAGGGTAGACTGTGACCAGTGGGAGTTGATTGATTGCTCTCAAACAGGACCAGCCATAAATGGGCAGCACAGTGGCTAAATGGTTAGCACTTCCGCCTGGCAGTACTAGGGTCATTGGTTCGAATCCCAGCCACAGCACCTCCTGCCTGGAGTTTGCATGTTCTCCCTGTGCCTGCGGGGGTTTCCTCCAGGTAGTCCGGTTTCCTCCCACACTCCAAAGACATGCTGGTAGGTTAATTGGATCCTGTCTAAAGTTGTCCCTAGTATGTGTATGTATGAATGTGAGTTAGGGACCTTAGATTGTACACCCCTTGAGGGTTAGGGACTGATGTGAATGCACAATATATATGTAAAGTGCTGCGTAAATTGACGGCGCTATATAAGTACCTGAAATAAATCAATGGATCAAAATGTGGCCGGTCCCTGCTGAACCAGTCAAATTTCAGTCCATCTATGGCGAGCTTTAATAAGACTGCAATCGTACCTGAGCGCTTACTGAATGTGCACAAAGTGCATATTTTTATGTGCATTCATGAGACGCGTGGGAAATGTGAGTTGCCCTTCATTTTTATGGGCACCCCAAGCGTGGCAAGCAGATGCATACGTCAATATGCGTGGTTAAATAACGCACAAGGCTGAATGCCTGAAAAAGATACATGAGCTACTTTGATGTGCGTGTTGTGCATAGGTTGTGTGTAGGTCAACCCGTTAAAAAATGGGCTGCCCTATGCGTGTAAAGTGAAAATGTGCAAAAAAAAAAGAAAAAAACACGCAAAAAAACGGCTGCTGACCAAAAGCTAAGTGTGAACCTAGCCTAACAGCCTGGATTCTCACAGACATCTGAATGAATTAAATGTAACACCTACAGAAGGCCAATAGTGCTCACCATGTGTTTAACCACTTCAATACCGGGCACTTATACCCCCTTCCTGCCCAGGACAATTTTCAGCTTTCAGTGCTGTTGCACTTTGAATGACAATTGCGCGGTCATGCAACATTGTACCCATATGAAATTTTTACCAATTTTTTCACATGAATAGAGCTTTCTTTTGGTGGTATTTAATCACCACTGGGTGTTTTATTTTTTGCTAAATAAAACACCTGAAACATTTGAAAAAAAAAAACACACTTTTCTTTGTTTCTGTTGTAACGTTTTGCAAATAAATAAAATTTCTTCATAAATTCAGGTCAAAATGTATTCTGCTACATTTCTTTGGTGAAAAATAATAATAATAATTGAATTTGTAATTTTTTTTCAAATGTTTCTATTTTTTTTTTATTTTTTATTACATTTTTTCTTTTTTTTACTATTTTATTTTTCAGCACACTGTGTGACCAAAGCAATACAATGTTACCATAGTAACACTGAACTACTCTGGGCAAATGATCAGGATTTTTTCTTTTAAACACATTATAATTGCTAATACCGATGTATTTCATTGATATCTGCAATCATTGTTACTGAATGAAACTGATTCAGTCTTTTGTTGTGATTAGCTGTGATTGGGCAAAGCTGATCACATGGCAAGCATTCATCAAGCGTTCATGATGCAGTCTATCACCAGCATTAGAACGGCACTTATTGTTTTTCTGAACCCCCCGTATTACATCATTTTATTACCCTTTGACCCTGACTGTAGATCTATTATTTTTCTTTGTTCCTATAACCAAGTTGTCCAGTAAAAGTGACAGTTAGAGATACAAACGCACGGCTTCGAGGAATTGTGTGTTTGTGTAGCAGATTGCTACAAAATGAGCTCAGAAGAACATTTTATTGGAAAATATTCTCCAGCGGGACTGACATCGGGAGTCGTCCCTCTTCTGGGTTTGGAGAGTAGTATCCCCCATTCCATCCACACTGCTAAACACTGTTGTGTTATTTAATCCAGAGCAAGAGCGACTTGACTGACATGTGACACGCTGTCCTTCCTGAAAAGAGCAAGATATAGGAAAAAGCAATCTGTATTCAGCTCTCCAGAGAAATGCGTTCTATCGTCTGGAATTTCAGCAAGTGATGGGAAATTTAAAAAAAAACTACATTGACTATGTTGAGGAGAGTGGATCTTCACTCTTTCTGTCTACAGTGAATATTTTTAATCTTTATGCTGCTAGCATTAGTAAACAGATAGAAAATATATCAAATTTACTTGTTTTAACCTTTTTTTTTTACATTTCTTCAGTTACTTCCTGGTTTCTTGCCTAGGCAAATGATGTCATACATCCCAGGAGTCTTCTGACGGGAGGAGGGGTTTTCTCATCTAAGCACACCCTCCTGCCTGCATGCCTGAGCTAAGGACAGATGTATTCCAGGAAGTAAATGCTACATGTTCTGCCCTTACTCAACATGGCTGCTGCCAGAAATGCTAGGGGGGGGGGGGTTTTCGAAGTGATTTCTCAGCAAAATAAATCATGGTGACATAGATGGATGGGGGGAGTTTGCTTTGAATATTAAAAATGAATTAAGTAGTATATTTGGTTTGTAGTGTTCAGACACCGTGTAGTTCCACTTTAAGAATGATGTGCTGCCTGTGCATTGGTTTTCTTTGGTATAGTGTATTCTCAGTGGCACATATTTTCTTTTTTTTTACCATTATTAACCCCACCCCCATTTCATCTGCCCATTTTCCAGGTGGGCACACCCACTATGGGTTGGTCCCACCCAGATCCTGACTGTAAATATGCAGGGACCACCCATCATACTCACTTTCCAGGTGAGTTTTGCATAGACCCCACCTCTGAATATGCAAGCACTGCCCACCCAAGACCCTTCTCTCTGAAATGAACTCCTTTCTGAGTTCCCGAGCATGTGCAGTAACTCACACAAGGTTGGTGCTGTGATCCCAGGACATGGCCCAGGACATAGCATCACCAGGACAAAGGGCTAAGATGCAGGACTGTCCTAGCCAATCCAAGACAGTTGGCATCCATGTAAAGTGTATACCTGAAAAAGACAAACAATTCCCTAAGTACAATAAAAATACTAATTGAGTCTTCGAGAATTCCAGTAATCTCCTATCTTCCTGTTGTGGCCTGACAACGCTGCCTGTGATTTAAAATATTCTCATATTCTTGACTTCCAGGTTCCTTCTCTTTATCCGCAGAGGTACGAAAAACAAAAACCCATAAGTGAACAAAAAACCGTGCAAGTGCAAAACACAAACACAAAGAAGTGCACTTAGGGGTGAGCTTTAGTCCATCCCCCAAGGGGTCAGACCTTTACCCTGATCCCCCGGGGCGCAAGGCTCCTGACAGGGACAAAGGTTTCCACATGGTCCACCTAGCTTAGAAGCCCTGGTGGACCCCTTTCCTTCTGGCTAGCAGAAGCCAACCACCAAGTACTAGGTCAGAGGGCTCTCCCCAAGAGAGACCCCCCCCGGGAACAGGGGAGGGAGGAAACCAATAGCCACGCATCCTCCCCCTAGACTTCAGGGCAGTTGGGATCTCACACTTGGGATCCCACACCCATGTGTTACTAAGAGCACCCTTGAGGTGACCACTCAGGGAGCACTGCTCTGCGGCCTCTCTGCCTCCTCGGCCCCTGGCCAGACAAGGTAGATCCATTCAAATCAGGAGGAACTGGGCCCCTCCAGTTTTCCCGGGGGAATTACTCCCGGGCCCCAACAGCCTGTGGGCTCCTCGGTTTCTCTTCCAGCTGGCCACTAAGTACTAGGTCAGGGAGCTCTCCCAAAGGGAGACCCCCCAGGGACAGGGGAGGAAGGAACCCAATAGCCATGCATCCTCCCCTTAGACTTCAGGGCAGTTGGGATCTCACACTTGGGATCCCACCCCCATGTGTTACAAAGAGCACCCCTGAGGCGACCACTCAAGGAGCACTGCTCTGCGGCCTCTCTGCCTCCTCGTCCCTGGCCAGACAAGGTAGATCCGCTCAAATCAGGAGGAACTGGGCCCCTCCAGTTTTCCCGGGGGGAATTACTCCCAGGCCCCAACAGCCTGTGGGCTCCTTGGTTTCTCTTCCAGCCGGTACTAGCCTTCGGAGCCCCCATCATACCAGCAGGGGTACTACACAGCCAAACCATCCTCACCCAAAAGCAAGAAAGATGGCAGAGCACCCCCACTGGACACTGTTGAGAACAGATACTACACTTGATCTTAGCCAAAATTCTTTTTTTTTTTCTTTTTCAGTGATTTAAAATGTTTCCATATTCTTGACTCACCAGGTCCACCAGCTGTGAGTAGCAGATCTGCCCCTCCTCATTACCCTGGGAGAGGGCGAATAACATCTCCAGTTTGGCAGGGTCCAGGGGCAGCTCATGGTTGTTCACCAGGGTGGTGAAGGTCTCCGCACATACAAATCCGGTGTTGTCTGGGTCGAGCTGTAGACAGAAAGGGTTGATATTGTTATACAGTGTGAAGGTGTTTATTGACTGTAACAAGATTTTCTGGCTTTTCGGGTGAGGTGTAAAGTTTCACGCAGGCTGTAGGGATTAAGCCTTGTCAGTGTATTGGCATTTATCTCCCAACAGTTCAATGCAAAGTGAATTAAATCTGACCTCCAGCCTTCCCTTCAGTATTGCACGGTTGTACCGGCTCCTCTCCGGGACTGAAATGACTTACTCTGATTTCACTGCACACTGTGAGCTTCTCTGGGTTTCTAGAGGAGTTTGTTTAGCTGTAAAAACACTGAAAAACACAACAAACCGGCGTTTTTGGACTTTTTTTGGGGTAAAAAACGCTGCAAACACGGCTAAACGCTAATACAAAAGTGCTAAAAAATGCTGAAAAACGTGCATTTTTAATGTGACTTTACACAGATAACACTACCAGCGTTAGTAAAACGTCCCGTGAGCACGGAACCTTAACTTCCCTAGCGGTCTGATTATTTCAGATTTTTGGTGCTGAAAGCAGTACATTTTTTTGCATGGAAATATGTAGTTTTTTTTATTGTAGGCTGTAATTTTTAGGAATAACTCACTGAAATCTGTCCGAACAAGAGTCTACTAAACATCCCGGGGATGATAAAATTTGAAACACAAAATCATAAATTATAATTTAATAAATAATCATAAAAAAATAATAATAATATAATAATAATACATTTAATTCAATAATATAATCAAACCAAAAACACTGAAATTTGAAATATAGCGCCAAGTTCGCACATCGCTGAGCAAAGTCGCAGAATCGTTTTCAGTGTCTGATGAGGAATTTCCCCCACGAATCATTATCACTCAATTCTGCAAGTGGTTCTGATTTACTATCGCTGTTCTCTAGCCGGTCTAAAACCGCTTTTGACCTAAAGGGATGCTTTTTGGACACCATGGACGTTTCTCAGTTTCCAGGCAGAAAGAACAGACAAAATGCAGGCAGGGCGCCGGACAAAGCACTCGGGACAAAATGTATGTGAAATGGGTTAAAACAGCAATGTTTTACTATGAAAAATGTGTTTTGAAAAAATTAAATTTTTTCAAATTTCCCGCCACCGCCGGCGCCCGTACGTCCCGACATCCCAGGGACCGGAACACAGAAGCCGGATGCCGGCATCGGCCGGAGGAGATGGCCGGGGATGCTGCAGGGGACGCATTGTGGGAGCGAAGGACAAGGTAAGTGCTGCAGGGACTCCCTATGCAGCGCCGCATGGTAAGCCCGAGTGTAGCTCAGGGTTACCGCTTTTGGTACTGAAACTTTACCCCGAGCTACACTCGGGAATACCGCCAGGGAGGTTAAAGTGTACATAGAGAAATCTTTTCATTTTTAAAATCTGGGATGCCCATCCATTTCTGTCCCAGTAAAAAGGGACAACTATAGAGGTGGAAACTATCCTGTTGGGGATACAAGCAGCAATAAAAACTTGACAAAGGGTCGTTTCCTACTTTATACAAAAAAAAAAAAAAAGTTTTAAATATACATCTCTTAGTCTTTTTTTAATGTAAATCAAAATATATTTAAATCCTATTTATTTATCTTATTTTTTTTTTAATTAGAAAAAATTAAGAACGGTGCCGGGTTTTTTTTTATTGCTCAATATTATTGTGTTGGTGAGGAGTGCTGATTAATCAATGTGTTCTATATAGTCTTGGTGTTTATATGGGAGTTAGCCGGCAGCACTTCTTTTCTAGGTCTCTTGTAAATGGTCCTTAGAGAAACCTAAAGACGAGGTACAGAACAGAAGCACCATTCGGCATATAAAATCCAGAATAACATTTTATTTGAATTCACCAGGAACATCCAATGCATTTTGGGGGTTTCAAGGTCCTAGGGAAAGGGGGGGCCCTTGAAATCCCCAAAATGCATAGGATTTTCCTGGTTCTGCATTCTGTGTCTGGTTGTATGAAGTTAAACTTTGCTTGAATTCGACAGAATTGTTTGTTGGAGTGCTACCAAACCTGAAGAAGAATAGGCATCACACAGCCTGAATCAGATGCCAATTTGTTCATGGCCCCTGAGGAAGTCCCTGCAACTGCTGAAAAGTGTTGGATTTTCCTGGTGAATGTAAAGTAGAACTTCACTCTCTCATTCAACGTTGACTATTTTTGCTGCTAGCATTAGTATATAAATAGGAAGGTATCAGAGGCGTAACGAGAACCTTCAGAGCCCTGGTGCAAGAAAACATGAAGGGGCCCCCTGACCACTGGGGCCCTTTTCATAGGTCACGGGGTCCTTTCCTCTGGTCCTGGGGCTCTTCCCTTCAAGCTCTGGGCCCTTCCCTAAGGGTATCCTTCCCTCCCCAGTCCCCTCCAGCACAAATACTTTTTCCCCCAAATATCCCCTACCAGCACATGGTCGAACACACAAATCGATCAATGTCCCACGAATCTGGGCTGAGTCCTGGAGCCCAGTGCCGAAACAAGTTCTGGCCAGGGGCGGACTGACCATTTGGAAACTCAGGCACTGCCCGAGGGCCCTGGGATAGTAGGGGGCCCCATGAGATGCCCCTGGTACCTTTTTCATAGGTTTTTTTGAGTTTGGGCAAGGACACAGGGGCCCCATGATCCCCTATTGCCCGGGGGCCCCATGAGTTGTCAGTCCACCCCTGGTTCTGGCACTTGGTTCCAGTAACTTGTTTGACAGGGGAGCACCAGAGTGGGAACCCAGGGCACTTGCCCTAAATCATTTACGGGGTGCAGGACACCACCATTGCCACCTTTGATTTGGGGGGGAGGGGAAATAAGTGGATTTGTGCTGGGGAGGGGCTACTGGGAAGGGAGATGACTTGTGCTAGAAGGTGAGGTGAAGTTCCCTCCCCTCCCAACGTTCTCCCCAGCACATATCCTCTTACCAAACCACTATTACTCCAATCATTCTTATCTCCCCCCCTTCTTGGTTACAGACCTCAGATAATCAGCGTGATGTTCCTTCTCCCCGATTCCTCCTCCTCCTGACTGTGTTCATGAGACGATCAGAGCTGAGGAAAAGGGGGCAGCTTCTGAAAGCTCCTCTGCTATGTGAGCAAGCAGTCGGCGAGGAGGGATGCCAGCTGCCACAGAAGGGGTGATCGCCATGTGTGGGACCCCAGGCACAACGCAAGAGATGCGGAGCAGATGTCCCTGGTTCCCACTGTAGCGCACCCCCGTCACTGGGCTCTGGGACTCCACACAGATGTCTAAGCTAGCTCCGGCTCTGGGCCCCCCCACAGTGGTGGAACTCCAGGGCCCAGACGCAAATGCAACCTTTGTGACCCCAGTAGTTCCGCCATTGGGAAGTATACTATATTTACCTCTTTTAAACTTTTTTTTTTTTTTACATTTTTTTTCAGTTATTTCCTAGTTTCCAACCTATGCAAATGATGTCATACATCCCGGGAGTCTTCAGGAGGGGAGAAGGGGCTTTCTCAGTTAAGCACACCCTCCTGCCTGCATGCCTGTGCTAAGGGCAGATGGATTCCAGGAAGTAAATGCAACATGAATCATCTGCTCTTGCTCAAAATGACCAGAAGTGCTAGGGCAGTGATTTCACAGTGATTCAGGAAATAAAGCATGGATACATGGATGGATGGGGGGGAAATTTGCTTTAAATATTCAAAATGAATGAAATAACATTTTTGGTTTGTGGTGCTCAGATGCAGTGTAGCTCTGCTTTAAATAAAATCATTTTTTTTTTTTAATGGTTGAACTGGATGGACTTTTGCCTTTTTTTCAGCCTAACTATGTAACTACGATCTACCTTAAAAACCCTTCCTTCCCTCTCCTTCCTATTAGAATTAATGTTTAAAATTTATATCCTTCATTTTGTGCTTAACAAAAATGTATTTTATTTTATTTATTTCAGGTACTTATATGGCGCCATCAATTTACGCAGCGCTTTACATATATATTGTACATTCACATCAGTCCCTAACCCTCAAGGGGTGTACAATCTAAGGTCCCTAACTCACATTCATACATACACATACTAGGGACAATTTAGACAGGAGCCAATTAACCTACCAGCATGTCTTTGGAGTGTGGGAGGAAACCCACGTAGGCACAGGGAGAACTTGCAAACTCCAGGCAGGTGGTGCCATGGCTGGGATTTCAAACCAATAACCCTAGTACTGCCAGGTGGAAATGTTAACCATTTAGCCACTGTGATACCCATGTATATATTGTACATTCACATCAGTCCCTAACCCTCAAGGGGCGTGCAATCTAAGGTCCCTAACTCACATTCATACATACACATACTAGGGACAATTTAGACAGGAGCCAATTCACCTACCAACATGGCTTTGGAGTGTGGGAGGAAACCGGAGTACCCGGAGGAAACCCACGCAGACCCAGGAAGAACATGCAAACTCCAGGCAGGTGGTGCTGTGATTGGGATGTTTGAACCTTGAGAAATGAAAAATTTCCATGGAAGCTACAGAAGTAGTCAATACTGAGTCATTTGGCTCCTTTGGCTTTGCAGACCAACTGCTAAAAAAAAAAGAAAATTGGCACAGGGCAAAAATGTCGGCCAATGCCCTTGTGTCAGGCCTCCGCTACATTAAGGACATTTACACTCGTAGACACAAGTGTATCTAATAATACAAATAGCCCTCCTAAAATAATAATTTGACACACACAGAGTTTTAAAAGACATAATTTTTGTCTCCTGCCCATTCCGCTAGACAGTCTGGGTGTACAATCCAATATTTTCAGTCTAGAACTGATTTACGACTTAAAAAACAGCAGCCGTAAAAGTTCTGGCGGAAACATTTGAGTTATGATATTTAATTTACAGCGCAAATGGTTATATTTTTAATAAGACAGCGCCTCAGATTTAGGCTGACAAACCTTTAAAATACTACATTCATTTCCTGGTACGTTAACCCGCAACAGGGAAAGTAATATATTTTAATTTGGAGAATTGCAGCTTTTTTTTTTTACTTGGCAAAAATCTGGTGTTTTTTTTTAACATCTATGGGTTGTATTATCACAGTTTCCTAATAGTACAAAATGCCTTAAATGAAGAAAAGTCAAGAAAAGCTCTGAAGGTGAACCTTGTGACAGTAACCTAGAAAAACTGTAACCTCCTTTAACATTAACCCCTTTACGCCGGCCGCACACAAATGTGGGCCCTTTCCATAGGTCACGGGGCCCTTTCCTCTGGTCCTGGGCCTAGACGCCGAGCGGCCGCACATTTGCGTCCATGTAAGAAAAAACATATGTGCTGAGAGCGTGCGCCCTGCGTGCTCCCAGCACACATGTCCGGTACTCACGGAAAGGTCCCGGCCTGCTCTTTCGATCGGGACCTTTCCCGATCATGTGACCGCCTTTCCCGATCATGTGACCGCCGTGACAACGCATCATGGCAGTCACATGATCCCTAAACCACGCCCCACCGCCACGCCTCCAGGCTTCTGAAACTCTGAAAGCGCCGGGAGGCGCTGGCAGGAAGAGGTTAATCTAGTGCCAAGCCCTAGTCACTGGGACTGTGGTGGGAAAGGATTGATGGATCCCTGTAATCTATAAACCAGTGGTCTCCAAACTGTGGCCTGGGAGCCAGAAGTGGCCCTTTCCTTGCTTTTATTCAGCCCTTGGTGCACTATTTCGTTCACTGACACCAACAATCAGGCATAATTCCTACCAGTGACACCATGGAAGGGGGAAAATTCCTGTCAATGACACAAACGATGGAAGACAATTCCTTCCAATGACACGAATGATGGGTCACAAATTCTCCCAATGACACCAACAATGAGGCCCAATGGCATCAATGATGGGGCACAGTTCCTCCCAATGACACCAATGTTGGGGCCCAAATCCTCCCACTGATACCAAAGACGGGGAATCATTTTTTCTCACTGATGTCAGGACCTTTTCTAATCCCAACAGCCACAGTACGCCACCCCCTAAAGTCTGAAGGACAATAAACTGGCCCTTTGTTTAGACTGTGTGGAGATCCCTGCTATAAACCATCCAATCTGTAAAAGGGCTGTAATATACGCAAGTAAACTATAAAGCAAAAACATATTTTATCCATAGCGATGACTTTCTTCTTCTGGCACATAAGCTATGTGATTGCACCCTTGCCTTGTAACCCTATGGTAGGGTTTTTCAACCAGGATTCCTCCAGAGATTGCTAGGGGTTCCTTGAGCAATGGGCAAGTGCTGCCTCTCAGAAAAGTTCCCAATGACACCATTGATCTTATTAGCTATCTGTAAGGGGGTAACTCTTCCCAATGACCACACGTGTAAGAAGCTTTCTTCCCACTGACCATCACACTGATGTATCATGAGTTGTAGATATAGTAACTTTTAGCAGGGGTTCCATGGGGGCAGAAAATTATTTCAAATGTTCCTGTGTTGAATAGGTTGATAAATGGTCCTAACTTTGATGTCCACAAGGAACACACATCTGCATTGAGTCTGCATGTTCTGCCAGTGTTTACACAAATAGCCTCCATCAAACATCAAAGGTAGAGATGAACAAACATCTTAACTATATAAATTCCTAAACCTATAAAATTTGGAGTTTCCAAACTGATAGTCCTGTTGAAGCCAATAGAAATCCAAACCAGGCTTCAAAACGTGAGCATTAGAGCAACAAACGATGCAAAATTGTGCAGAATGGGATGCTTCAGGCAACTTTGCCTGATGAGACCAAAGAGCAGCCTGAGACACTTCCTTTAAAGATTCTACCAGGGATACTAAGGTCCCGCTCTGGTGGCCCTGGAGGTCAAGTTTAGTGTACTTAGGCAAGAGAAGGAGCAGATGTAGGGCAGAAGCAGCCTTTAGTTTCTTCCTTTTAACTCTTTTGGAAACCCAAACCATCAAAACGTACACTGAAATTCAGATTCAGATCTGGCCATTCAAATCAATGAACTTCGGTCAGAATTTTATATAATACACAATTTGGTATTAACCCATACTAATATGTTAAAGAGCAACTCCAAGCAACATGTTCAAGCATTGAACCTCTACCGCTTGCATTCTGAGCTCCACAGTAATCCTCCACATCTAGATACCAGATAACTCCTTACATGTTTTTTTCTCTGCTTAACCCACCACCAGTCAGGTTTGTAAGCAGGTTGCCTGCAATAGTTAATAGGCTTCTATTGACCCAAGCTGGGGAAGGGGTTAAATCTTGTGGGACTTTTTCCTTGGCCCACAAGATTGTGACTCTCACATGGCCAGCAATTTAGCATGTATTTCTAAGCAGCCTGCTACTATTTACTACTACTACTACTACTTTATAGTACCTGTCCTCTTTATGTGCTCTTCTAGGGCAGTGTTTCTCAACCTTTTTTCAGTCAAGGCCCCCTTTAAAATTATGGACAGTCCTGAGGCACCCTTTAAAATTATGGACAGTCCCGAGGCACCCTTTAAAATTATGGACAGTCCCGAGGCACCCTTTAAAGTTATGGACAGTCCCAAGGCACCCTTTAAAATTATGGACAGTCCCGAGGCACCCTTTAAAATTATGGATAGTCCTGAGGTACCCTTTAAAATTATGGACAGTCCCGAGGCACCCTTTAAAGTTATGGACAGTCCCAAGGCACCCTTTAAAATTATGGAGAGTCCCGAGGCACCCTTTAAAGTTATGGACAGTCCCAAGGCACCCTTTAAAGTTATGGACAGTCCCGAGGCACCCTTTAAAATTATGGATAGTCCCGAGGCACCCTTTAAAATTATGGACAGTCCCGAGGCACCCTTTAAAGTTATGGACAGTCCCGAGGAACCGTTTAAAATTATGGACAGTCCCGAGGCACCCTTTAAAATTATGGATAGTCCTGAGGCACCCTTAAAATTATGGATAGTCCTGAGGCACCCTTTAAAGTTATGGACAGTCCCGAGGAACCCTTTAAAATTATGGAGAGTCTTGAGGCACCCCATTCTAAAATGTGAAAAACTATTCTAATAGTTTTATATAATGCAGCAACATCCACACATGTAGGACACCCAACATTATAGAGATAATTTATTCTTTCAAAGCAAATACACTTCTGCACACTGGTACTGATTAGTATTCCATTGTTTCTCCTCTTCCTCAGTTTTTCTCCATCACTGAGCTAATGTGACCCCAGCACTGACAAAGAGAAGAAGGGGAGGGTCCAACTAGGATGCTGTGCAGGCAGCTGACAACCTCCTTATCAACTGATGATGTCATTGGTTGTCAGGACGCTGGTGGCTAGAAGGTCGTAATGGTGCACTATGGAAACCTGTGGCTTTGTGTAACTAAAAGGCAGGCTTGTTCCACCCGCTGGCTTATATACAAGTTTTGGGCAATTTGTTTTGCCAAGGTACCCCTGAAGAAACCTCAAGGCACCCCAAGGTGCCTGGGCACCCTGGTTGAGAAAGGCTGTTCTAGGGGATCCTGCACCCCTAAACCCCCTCTCCTGTTATTGAGTTTAACAATAAATTGTAAGAATAATAAAATTACTTCATCCCAACTTATTTTCTGTCCCACCAAACACCAAGGACCAGACCCTGGGATTGAGATGTTAACCCAACAAGCCCCCCTGGTGAGCCACATCTGGTGCTACACTGTGCAGTCTGTAAAACACCCATTTCCATTACTAAAACCTCCAGGCCGAATAATCTTTGGTGCCCTTAGCAAAGCCCCTCTTGGATCCACTCCTAGATCTTTTAACCATATTTTATTGGTCTTAACCTGGCTTAGAAAATTGTGCCAAAAACTGTGTTCAAATACGGTTCTATGAAATCTATGAAATCAGCCTTTTCCTTCTGCCACCCATAAGCAGAGGCCTACTGTGCCTAATATTAAATGTGGCAGTAATAATAGTGCAGAATGTTTGTGTTCTATAAATACAGCTAAGAGCAATAAGGGCTGCAATTACGCCCTCCCGTTTTATATCGTTTGCCTACCACATCTTTCCTGAAGGCCTTCTGTCCTTGTGTTCTTTCATTAATTCACCTAGCAGGTCTGCAATTCTTTTTCACCCAGAATCACACAGACAGAATCCTTTCTCGAGTCTCACTGTACCCACTTCTTGTTCCCCATTGAAGCTCAGAGTTCAGCTGATTATCCACCCACTCATTCCACCTTCATCTCTGCTTTGAAAAGATCTTGTATTCGCTTCTAGTCTATGTAGCTTCGACTCTATTCAATCCACACCTACATGTGAATTCAGCAGAAACAGTCTCTAATACTTCCTGCGCATTGTCAACCTGCTCACGACATTGCTGACCTTATAATGTCATCAGATATACAAAACACAGTCGCTGAGTAAGACCCTCTGCCCCGAAGGGTGAAACTACAGCTATAGCAGGCAATGCAACTGCTCTGGGGCCCGGAGGTATAGGGGTTCCAGCACTGTCTGGCTACCTAGTGATTTACACAGGTAGCAACAATATTTGGCAGACACATTTAGATTCAAAGATGTATACATACAGTATGTAGCCACCCTGCTTTAACCCCTTCACGACTAAGGGTAAAACAAATCTAAATGCCTAAGCACAATTTTGCAACGTTGACCTGTGTTAGTAAATCCGTCCATATCATCACAACTACTTTGTACATCTAGGTGGATTATACCGCGTTTTTTTCAGGACAAATTGGGCTTTCATTTGGTGGTGAATGGTAATGGATATCTCCTGATTTGTTTTATTATCAAAGGAAAACTGGCCCAAAATAGTAAAAAAAAAATATTTTTTTTTTTATTTAGCTGTGTATTTCTTGTTACTACCATAACCTACCACCAAAGAACAACCCAAAATAAATTCTCCAGCTCTTGACAATCGCAGCGATACCATATATGTGTATGTTATTTGTTGTTTGTACCCGTAGTACAGCCCAGAAACAACAGTGCGCATTTTGTTTTTGTCTTTTTTTTTACCGAAAACACACTGACACCAATTTTTTTAAAAAAAAAATCCTGACCTTTTGACCCTGACCTTTGACCCTGGCCTTGACCCAAACACTAACCCTGGCACTGAACTAGATCAAACCTTGATCTAGGTATGTTTTCTTTATTTTTTATTTTATTTTTTAATATTTATTATTTTTCTTTTTTTCTTGCAAAATTTGTTTTCCCCCTGTATGCCAGGATTTAGAGAGATACAATGTATCTCTCTCCTCCATTCATAGAGAGAGAAAAAACAAGGGGGTGGGCTGTATAGTGACTGATCACTGTGATAGCCAATCAGAGGCTATCACAGTGATCATGTGATCCGTTATCGGGAGTCCCGGGTCCCGATCGGCAGAACAGGACCCGGTGCTCTCAGTGACACCGCAGTGTGTGTGCTGGGAGCTCGCCATGCGGCGCGCTCCCATCATGAAGACAGGTACGCAAATATGCGGCCCCACGAAAAAAAAGCCCAGTTCTGTGAAGCCACATATTTGTGTTACGTCAGCTACAAGGGGTTACACAAGAGTGTCTATTTCAATTTAGAGTTGCTAGGCTGTAATCAGCCTAAAAATTGTTAGTGGACCAGACGGATCCCCTAAAACAAAGGTTTAAAAGCGAGCCAACTGCAGAGTAGTAAAATTAAACAGCTTTACTGAGATCAATATAGGTAATAAGGCCAAATGGCCAACAATCCTCCATTCATCATTGGTGACTGCTTGCTTCCGGCTGCCGCTAATGTTATTGGCAATAGTGTGCAAATCCCGGGCAATAATGTGGGAGGCTGCAATTTATATCTCTCTGGCCAACCACTAGGAAGGTTATTGCCAGTGGTGCATGCTGAGAAGGGTATAAATATTCAGGAGTGAACTTGGGAAGTCATTCTTCTCCTGGGCCTGTTGTCTAGACCAGCCTTTCTCAGAGTGCCCAGGCACCCAGGGGTGCCCTGAGGTTTCTCCAGGGGTGCCTTGGCAAAATGTCTAAAAATTGCCCAAAACTTGTATACAAGCCAGCCGGTGGTACAGGCCTGCCTTTTAGTTACACAAAGCCACAGGTTTTCACCGTGCACCATTACGACCTTCTAGCCTCCGGAGTCCTGACAATCAATGACATCATTAATTGATAAGGAGGATGTCAGCTGTCTATACAGCATCCTATTTTTTCCCTCTCCCGCCCCTCTCCATTAGTGCTGGGGTCACATTAGCTCCATGATGGATAAAAACTGAGGAAGAAGAGAATCACTGGAATACTAGTCAGTACCAGTGTGTAAAAGTGTATTTCCTTTGGAAGAATAAATCACCTCTAATGTTGGATGTCCTACATGTATGGATGTTGCGGCGTTAGGTAAAATTATTAGAATAGTTTTTCACATTTTAGAATGGGGCACCTCAAGACTGTCCATAATTTTAAAGGGTGCCTTGACTGAAAAAAGGTTGAGAAACACTAATCTACAGGAGGGATGTGAGTGGCTGTCTGATCCTCTAAGGCTTGTTGCCCAGGGAAGGTGACCAAGCAATGGGACCGAGTGCTAGGTTTAAGGCCCAGTATGTTAAAGAGGGGGTCGAAGCATTACAGAGGATCCTAAAGCCCAGGGCTCAAAATTTCAAGTCCCGAGCTATTAGCCAGGCCTTAAGAGTTACTCGCCACCGGTTGCCCCACCCAACCTCTGCCCCTCCCCTAATTCTGCCCCTAAACACGCCTTCATAAATTATCTCATGAAATGACACTGTTAAATGTTTTATGCAGACTAAAGGTACAAAAATACATATTAACAACAGCTTTAACAATATTAACATACAGCAATGTGAACATAAAAAGAAAATAAGTGTTTTACATCAACAGGGAAACAAAATGATGCACAGTGCGGAGGTCAGCAGTGCGACGCATAGTGCAGGTAGAGGGGTACAGAGCGTACAGCAGTGGGTAGTAAGTGCAGGAGAGGAGTGCAGACTGTAAGAAAGAAGGACAGGAGGAAAGAAGGGAAGGAAGAAGGGAAGGAAGAAGGGAAGGAAGAAGGGAAGGAAGGTAGAAAGGAAGAAAGAAGGGAATAAAGAAGGGAAGGAAGAAGGGAAGAAGAGGGAAGGAAGAAGGAAAGAAGGGAAGGAAGAAGGAAAGAAGGGAAGGAAGAAGGGAAAAAAGAAGGGAAGGAAGGTAGAAAGAAAGAAGGGAAGGAAGGGAGGAGAGAAGGAAAGGAGGAGAGAAGGAAAGGAGGAGAGAAGGAAGGGAGGAGAGAAGGAAGGGAGGAGAGAAGGAAGGGAGGAGAGAAGGAAACAAGGGAAGGAAGGTCAGACTAACATGGATGGTTCCTGGCTCGCTGGCTCAGTCAGAAGCATCACAGAGCTGCCAGCTGCTCTGTATACAATTTCCTGCCCACACATCCCCTTCTGAGAAGCTGCACAGGGGGAGGCCAAGTGGGCACAGGGGCAGGCAAAGCAGACCCAGCATCTCTCCTCTCCTTTTGGTGCGGAGGATGGGGGGAGGGGCTGGGCACTGAGGAGCACACAGGAGGGCCCAGATGATCGCTTCAGCAGTGGGGGCAATGAAGCAGCTGAAAACTACAGGAGGGAGAGAAGGAGAAGAGGCTTTCAGTTGCTTCATTGAAAGTCCAGGCCCTGCTCGTCTCCACGTTATTTCCATTCACCAGATGCGAGCAGACAAGTGGAAATTTTGAGGGCTGTTAAAGCCCATCTTCAAGCAACAAAAAGTTTTCCCATGCAGTGGGGCTATGCTCGCACTGCACTGGTTAACTGCTTGTTTTTATCTAGAGAAAGGAGATATACTTACCAAATTTTCAGATCCTCCCAGCATAAGACCGTTCCAGCACCCTCCCCAGCAGTCTTGAGTTGTGGACTGTTTCTGACATCATCAAGCCCAAAGCCAGCCTTATAGACCAGAAACAGTACACCATAGAACCTTGGGGAGCGCCATTTTTCTGTGGAACAAAGATCAGGTGAGCATAAGCTTTCTCCTTATCCATAGACAAAATGAGCAATTGACCCAGTTGCATGGGAAACCTTTTTTTTTAATTTCTTTATTTTTTCCCAGGAGTTTGGCTTTAAGGCTAATTGCGGTACTTGAGAATCTGGTCAGAAGCTTAGTTCTCAGTTGAAGTGTGATGCTTCTCTCCAAGGAGTTGGTAGCCAAAATATTCAGTATTTGGCATCCAGAAGTAGAATTTTCAGAGTGCCGGGTTGGCTTTAAAGGCCTCTATCTGTGAAGGTTGTAAGTACTTTTTGTCCTTTTTGGGGAATCTGCCACATCCATGGGTGTCCTGTGCCCTAATCAGGAATCTGTATGAGAGTCCTTGTTTGCTGTAAAAAAGTGACTGGTGCCCATCTGTTCCCATTGCTCCCTTACTGCTAAGGACTAGGCCCAGAGGTGAAATGCTAGCCCACCCTGCTCCTAAGGTTCCTCACATGCCTCAGGGGGTCAGGGGGGTGCTACACATAGTATGTAAAACGCTATATAGTTATTTTGAAAGCTTAACCTGCATCGCTACAGGCATTGTCTTCAAGACAGAGATTAGAGAGGTATGGAGGAAGGTAATGGCTTTTGCTATAGGGCTCCATCACATATAGGTACAGCCCTGCTCTTTCAGGTTTGTATTGCTGTCTGTACCCCCGCTGGGAAAATTCCCTCTCTTTATTTGTCCAGGTCACCATTGACACCAAGTCTGAAAGTGATGAAAAATCCTGAATTTTAGAGCTGTGGCCAAAACAAGAAAAAAAGTAAAAGAGAACACACGTTCCAGTGACAAATGGCTAAGGAGAGAAATCCCCTCAATTTCGAGAGATTTCCTCTTACTTTCTGTTGCATCTCAAGGACAAGAAGTGAAGGGAAATCCCCACAATGGGACAAGGACATCACCTCTGTTAGGTTTTTATTGCAGTCTGTGTCCCTGCTGAGAAAATTTACCGTTACTTGTCCTGCTGATCATTGTCACCAAGACAGAAA